ACGGTATTCCTAGCTTTTCTATATTACCAGTATCTAAAAGGTTTTTAATTGTCTTCTGAGCTCAGGGACAAATATATAATAGAATGATAGAAAATAATGAAAGAAAACTGAGAAATAATAAAAAGTCAGAAATGGGGCAGAGGTTAGTGGGCAGTGTAGAAGGATCTGACGGAACTAGAGCATGGGTGACTGGTTAGAGCCGTCACCTCCACTTCCAGCACTACCTCCTTCACGCCACATCTAATTCTGTGGCCAGATGCCAGCGCAGAATCTGCATCCTGACCGCCCAGAGCAGGTGCTGATGCAGTTAACTCTCACAAAGCTCCAGGATCATGCCAAATATAAAAATAAGGCAAAGAAGTGGCTACACCAGGGGTGGGCAAACTTTTTGACTTGAGGGCCACAATGGGTTCTTAAACTGGACCGGAGGGCCGGAACAAAAGCATGGATGGAGTGTTTGTGTGAACTAATATAAATTCAAAGTAAACATCATTACATAAAAGGGTACGGTCTTTTTTTTTTTTTTAGTTTTATTCATTTCAAACGGGCCGGATCCAGCCCGCGGGCCGTAGTTTGACCACGGCTGGGCTACACACTTGAACTCTCCCTTTCTCCCTGTCTCTCTAAACCATACAGTTCAGAAATGCCTAAAGGCAATGAACAGGATATGCTGGCCTCCAATAGCCTGCTCACTTGTGTCTTTAATCCACTTCTACAATGAGCAAAAATTTTCTAAAATGAGGAAAAAAAGAAAACCCTGAACAATCCAATTAGAAAATGGGCAGAGGACCTAAACAGATACTATTCCAAAGAGGACATACAGATGGCCTATATTCATATAAAAAGATGGTCAAATCACTAATCACCAGGTAAATGCAAATCAAAACTACGAGATACTACCTCACACCTGTCAGAACTGCTAGTATCAAAAGGGAACAAATGCCGTGGCTGGGTTGGTTGGAGCGTTGTCCCGTACACCAAATAGGTTGAGGGTTCAATTCCTGGTCAGGGCATGTACCTAGGTTTTGAGTTCAATCCCTGGTCGGGGAGCTCCTGGAACACAGCAGTGTCAAGTAGAGGAACAGTGGTTCTCACTTTGAATGTAAGGATGACTTTACCTGTGTTTTCATGAAATCTCTGATGTTTGTCTACAGAGGGGTGGAGAACTTTTTTGCTACCAAGGGCCATTTGGATATTTACAACATCATTTGTGGGCCATACAAAATTATCAACTTAACAATGAGCCTGCTATATTTGGTCATACATTTAATTAACTCACCTTTAATGCTTTGGCAGGGCCAGACCAAATGATTTCCAAGGCCTTCCATAGCCCACCTGGCCTAGAAGCTGGATGCGGATAGGTCTGACAATGTTTTAGTTTGGTAGTGACTTTCCTTGAAAGACAAATGTGATAAAACACCCACCACTGGCAGGGGTTTAATCTGGCAGTGAGCCATCTGTGGGCGATAAGCAGTCTGTCTCATGCTTACCAATCATTGATGCTTTGGGGAAACACCGACACCTGCACACATCTATTTAGAAGCATTACTTCTTTGTCTTCACATGGGGATCACTATTGTTTAGATTCTGGGATGCACTGACCCCACTAAGGCAGGAAGGGTCTGAGGCTCAGGGGCCCGCAGGGCAAAAGCTACAAGCCCAAGGCCAACTCCCAGCTCAGGGTTCCCTTCTCATAACAACACCCGAAATGGTCACAGGAGAAGCACCTCATTCCCATTCACATACAGAAGCATATTTATAAAAAGGGAATCTTTGGCTCTGCCATGATATTTTAAAATCCATTAACCCAATTTCATAAGCCTATGAAGCAGGATTGTAGATATAAAATTTCAGAGCCACAAACGTGAATCTCTCTTCTGCAAAACAGGGTTTGTTAAAACTGTAAGGCCTACTTCAAGTGAAATTTAGAGGGTGATGAGACGGAAAAACTGGTTACAATGCCCACAAATGCTTGGCAGTCCAGGATAAAAATCAGCACAACACACCCCAAAGCAGGGCGATAATAGTGTAACTAACAAAGATATAATTTGCCAGATTGCTTATGCCCGTACAGAAGGAGACAGAATAGTTTTTGCAGTTTACTCTCATGAGCTCCCAGAGTACGGTGTGAAGGTTGGCCTGACAACCGGCTACAGTATATTATACTGGCCTGCAGGCTTTTCAATAGAGTTGGTATGGACAAGATCTATGAAGGCCAAGGAGAGGTGGCTACAGGTGAACAGAATGTGGAAAGCACTGCAGGTCAACCTGGTGCCTTCACCTGCTATTTGGATGCAGGGCTTGTCAGAATTACTACTGGCAATAAAGTTTTTGGGGCCTTAAAGGGAGCTATGGATGGAGGCTTGTGTACCCTTCATAATACCAAATGATTCCCTGGTTATGATTCAGAAAACAAGGGACTCAATGTGGAAGTACATCATAGGTCAGAACGTTGCATATTATATGTGCTACCTAATGGAAGAAGATAAAGATGCTTACAAAAAACAATTCTCTCAGTTCATAAAGAACAATGTAACTCAAGACACAAAGGATATGTATGAGAAATCTCGTGCTGCTATACGAGAGAATCCTGCCTATGAGAAGAGGCCTAAAAAAGAAGACTTCCCAAATGTCTCTAGACATTTCAAAATGTCTAGAAAAAAGATTTCGTAGCTCAGAAGGCAAACTTCCTCAGAGCTCAGGAACGGGCTGCTGAGAGCTAATGAACCAAACCACAGTTTTCTATGCATATTTTCAGATAAAGACAATAAACTTACTGACCAACCAGAAAAAACACACAAAAACCCAGAAAGAAAAAGATAAACTTCTCCAAGGCCAAGGGTAATATTAGTAATGAAACTCAACTAGTCATTCATCTGTAAACAATGAAAGAATGTCAGAAACATGCCCGGCACCATACAGAATTTAACTGACATTCTTATAAACATGTTTTAAGTGCGAATCTCCAAGGCCAAGGGTAATATTAGTAATGAAACCCAACTAGTCATTCATCAGTAAACAATGAAAGAATGTCAGAAACATGCCCAGCACCATACAGAATTTAACTGACATTCTTAAACATGTTTTAAGTGCAATAATGGTATTATGGTTATGTCTACACAAAAATAAACAAATAAAAGTCCTTATAGCCCTGACTGGTTTGGCTCAGTGGATAGAGCGTCAGCCTGTGGGCCGAAGGGTCCCAGGTTCGATTCTT